AACTTATTATTTTTTGAAGACACTCTTCTAAAAGCGCTATTTTCGGATTGAGCTAGGAAGCTGTTCTGTCAAGAATTTGGCAACTGGTTTTTGTGTGCCGTACATCGTTGTATTTGTAATTAAAAAAATTATTCAATATTTTTTACGGATCATATAAAACCAGGTGCCAAATTCTTAACAGAACATCTTCATAGCTCACACCGGAAAAGAGGAAATACGAATAGAATAAATCCAGCTATGTTTGTTTCTGAGATACAGGGTTAAAACGAAAACTTTGACTTTTTAGGATGCATATCTTACTACTCATGTAAGATAGAAAAAAGAAGGTAAAAACTGGCTATTTTAGATACGTAGTATCCAGTGGCGTAGTAAAAAAATTGTATAGATCACCGTTTCCGAGATTTGACCCAAGGTTGGTTTTTTAAATGCAAGGCCCTGTATATCTTAACGTGGATACAGTGTATAATCTAAAATGACAGAAAATAACTCTATCATTATCTGGCCGAACGAAAACTGTATTCGTGCGAGTGAGACAGGTATATGACAACCGGATACGTTTACTAAAAGGTTAGGGTAGTTTATTCCTGTCGCAAAGAGTAGTGACAATATTCGAAAGATTTAGTGTGTGAATTTTCATGACAATCTTAACTATACGATATTGTATTTAAAATAAATACCCCCCCCCCCCCCTTACTTGTTATGTACACATAGTTCGAAATTCCAAAACTGAATTTTGGATTCGAGATGACGCCTACAACGTCCAAATATCTTGGCATACACTTTCCGTTTGACAAAAAAAGCACTATGAAACTCGTTTACCAAAACGTATGTCTGTACCTTTTTACTCTTTTTTATCTAGAATCGGTATAGGTACCTAATATGGAAACCGTAAAAGTAAATAATACCCACTTAAGAGCTAGAAATTGCCATTAACAATTAATGAATGGGTAATTTTTTGCTAGTTTTGAGTCCGTCCACGAATTCCTTCCTTCAAGACCACGTCCAACTGCAGCAAGCGTATAAAAATCGTCACTATTAATTTAGAAGTTCATATCCAGCACGTAAGTTAACTGACCTAGGAGCACGATATAATTTTATACCATCTCTCTTGAAAGATTAAAATTTTACTCCGTTTGTTGTAAATAAAATGGGTATAGTAGCGGAACGTGGCGGCGGCGTGGGGAGAAAGGCGAGTGTAATCTGCGTAAGAGTAAACAGTAGCTGGCTTCGGGCATGAAAATGAAAACAAGTAAACCGGTGTGGCTGGCAAAGTGAAGCTCGCGATGGCTCAGCCCACATCGGAGCACTTTATTTTTACCAACTAAAATGGGTGGGTCCCCGTCCCGGCGTGGGGCGAAAGTGCAATGTCAATGTCCTTCAACTGGAAAGAGGTCGCTTATTTGTATAATTTAATGTTTATTTTCTTTTTTTTGTTCACTACGAATGTGAAAATTTTTAAGAAAGGCGCTAATTACTTCCATAATGCGTTCGATGTTATGGTAGGCAGGTAAATCCACCACCGTTTTTTTCCACATGACGAACTTGAAGGGGTTGTACGTGGGAAACAGGATAAGCGACTGTAGCGTACTTCCCGAACTGTATGGAGAAATTTGGATTTCTCTCCGGCCCTTTTTAAAATTAGAATTCCGGCGACGACGGCGTGGGAGACCAAGGTCTATGAAAAGAAGTGAAATAAAAGATTTGTTATTCCCACTTTGAATCGTTTTATGGCACGCGTGCCTTCAAGGGGAGATATTCCATTTATTCAAATGATCCGTGAAGCAATAGTTATGGACATTGGGTGGGTTTTGTTTGGCAAATCTGGAAAGTCATCTTCGCTTGGGTGTGCTCCGTATTTCCATATCTTTTTGGATAATTTCAATTAATCTTTCAACTGAAAACCTTGGAATGAAGTTTAATAACAGCCCTTCGCTATCTACTAATCTGCTATGTAAACATAAACAGAACGATAAACATTTGAGATATTTCTTATCTATGCGAGTACCTACGTTTGTAACATGAGACAATTACATCCTAGTTCCCTTGAATTCCCCAATTAAAAAATACGTTGATAAACGAACCACTTCATTTCACTTGTAAAATCTCGGTACATGATTTCGAGTTCTCACGTAAAATGTCCCTTCTTCCTGTAGAACATCCGCACCCTTATCCTTTCTTTTTTGGTGACAACGTTGCGGTCACGCAACCTTGATATGCAGATTGTAGATAGGCTAACGGTCAAACGTTTTTCTCACGCTACGTTTTGTTTTTGGAAAATGTCGCACAAACACGGTGCCGTTTTACATCGGCTCACTAAAACGAGACACCATCGCGATCAAAGACACCCGTGACAGCTGGAAGGAAACCAAGTGTGATATTCAAATATTTGCACCGACTTGCTATGGTCGGGCAGGTGCCTAGCAATTATCTTGAATTGCTCTATTTAGAAAGCATAAATTTCGAAAATGTATACAAATTCGTACTTCCGCAATTCAGTTTTTTATCTATCCGTTTCCACGTACGTTCCGCCCACAGTAGTCGTGTTTAATTTATTTTTGAATATGCAGAATATACGAGTTTTGCGACGCAACCAACCAAATGTATCAGAAGTTTGTCATATACAGGGTGCAGCCAGGTAAAAGGAACCAAAACAAGCACCTTCTTTCTACATTTACCACGTTACTCATGATGGGAGCTATGTCCACGTAATTGTTGTAATTATGCTAGTAATTTTAATTAATCATCGTAATAAAGTCTCGAAAACATCACGAAAATCACAAAAAGGTAGCAAATTTTTTGGGTAATTTAATTAATTTTTAAATTCAGATCCGACTAAAAGTGATTAAAAACATCTGAAAATCTCCTCATTAAAAAATAAAAGTTGTTACAAACATTTTTCATTGCGAAAGCACAAACTCAAAAATGATGCCAAGACGACGGTTGCTGACAAATTAATATCAACTTTTTTTTGTTAGGTAAATACATACCATATTGAATTTTTTTACCGATGTGAGATAGATAACCCATGATTGGACTACGAATACTAGTAAAATTATTAGCGCCTTGGTTAATTTTTTAATCAATTTCTGGCAATTAATGACCTTTTGTACCGACAAATTTAAGCGGAGCTTAGCTTAAAATCCATGGCAACCATTGTCTCAATAGTTAATCGTTGGCATTAATTTTACCGCTTAAATTTGTCGGTGCAAATGGCCATCAATAATTAAGTAATTATTCTTTAGTCGATCATAGGCCATCTTTAATCGCTTCAAAAAACAAACAAAAATACATTTTTTACAAAATAATTCAATATTGCGTCAAACTTTTTAATTAATTCGTAGAATCTCGGGTAGAATATTAAAAGATAACTTATAATCAACTAAGAAATAATTCAATTTGATTGATAATCAAAATTAATGAATCGGACTTGATTGAAAAGTAAAAAATGATTTACGAATCATACATTATTCAGATGTTCACCCATAACCATAATAGTGTTTCATCTCGTGCTTCCGAGCGTGCTTCATTTCAATTCAAAATGAGATTAGGTCCATTCTTCCGATTTCAAATATAATAAAATATAATTAAGTTTTGTATATCTGCGAAAGTATCCGTCACGCGTTTGGTATATGTACGTAAATCACTACTTAAAAACTGTATTGAAATTGTCAAACTTAAAATGGTATAATCAAAATTTGAAAATTTTTGCTCACTTAACGAGATACGGGGGAAAATGAAAAAGCGAGTGAAAAAGTTATCGGACCAAACATCATTTTTTAAAAAGAACCTCGGGTATATTTTAATTTAAAAAATAGTAAATTAAATTATCTTTTCAAAAAATAGCACACTAAGGATGATATTCAAATGATTCAAAAAATTCAGATGTACAGAATTTTTTCAACCTTTTTTTTTAAATTTTTGAATCAACATTCAATTTTTTTAATGTTAATTTTAGATTAAAATATGCAGGGGGTTCCATTAAAAAAAATGAGGTTAGGTACTTTTCGAGGTACTTTTTTATCTGACCCCGTATACTTATTTCGAAAACGGGCAACGGCTCAAATCAACGAAAAATTATATTCCTATAATCCTATCAATCAATTACATACAATCATCTTCCAAAATGTTTCGCTGCAAGACATAGAGCACCAAAGCAAACAAAAGACGAGGCAAAAAAGCAAAAACCACGTGCAGAAAATAATAATTTACTACTATTACTTTCATGTTCAGGTGATCTTTTCTCCACTTAGAAAAATGCTTGCCTTCCCATACATTTCAAGCCAATTTACTTTTCCCCATATGTATGCAACCCCCTTAAAGAAACAAATGGGCTCGCCCTTTCAAAAAGTACTGAACCTCACCCAACGTCTCCGACCAGGTCTCCGAATAGTTAAAAAAATGGCCCCAAATATATCCAGAAATTTCATAATTTTTTATCCTCGGAATGTTTAATCCTCTGTTTAAGACTTAGCTTAGTGTAAAGAATAAGGACTTAGCTAACTACTTGTAAAAAGAGTACGATTTCGTTACTTCTACCCTGTCCTGGAGAGTAATGTAAGGCTGTAGATCCTCAAATTTCTTTTACTTGTACTTTAAATGTCGGAGTCGGCTCTTAGAAAGGAGGAAGTATACCATTTCCTAATATTTCCTCGTATTTCCTACATAAAAAATGAAGTAGGTTCTATGATAAACTTCCTTATAGAAGTCAATTATATGCGGCCGTTTATAATGTCCATCCACATTACATTCGGTTATCTAAGTGTAATTACGTCAAAAATAAACTAATTAACCAGTGTACGATCTTCTAGTAGTTAATTTACGACCGACTTCACACTTAATTACAATTTAACCGAAACTCACTACCGGTTTTTAATGTTGCGTTGTGAAATAAAAATCGATGTGATATATTGGAACAGCTGTCCTGTGCTCACCCTCGGGCGGCGAGGGTGGCTTATGACGGGGTGTGTTATCGGCCGGCTAACGGTCATTTTTTCGCTTACCTGTAATTAGGCTCTGTTTCTTGGGTATGTTCGGCTGGGTGTGAATATCCGAAAATTCCGATATCGTATCGTCGTCATCGACGCTCGTCCGGCTACTGGATTCGATCGGGGGATACAGAAATTCGTTGCACACCACCTCCTGGTGGCTGTCGAACAAATTGTGTTTCTTGGGGGTCGAGGGTACGCTCACCACTTTCGGAGGTGTGACCTTGTGCCACTCGTATCTCCCGATTACGTCCTTTGGTTTGCACGCGACGAAATCGAATTCCCATTTCTCGCACTTATCGTTCGCCAATTTGGCCAGTTCTTCGTCAACGAAACGCCTCGTCTCCCCCGGGTCCGCATTGAACAACGAGCGTCGCACTTTCGCGAAACCCTTGTAGACGAAACTCCCCTCGATCGAGGGTGACGACCGTATTTTTGGAATTTCTGCAAACGCGATAGGTTTGAAAACTCGAGCACTCATTTTGTTTATGTTTGCAGATACGATAGGCAACAACGCGAACACGCTTTAGAAAGGCGTGTGTGTAGATTATTCGCAGAATAAAATATCGAGTCACGCCACTGCGAAAAACGCGATAATAAACGCCGTTCGGCGTTCTCAGAACATTCGAAATCGATCTTAAACTACTCAAAGTCACTTAAATAACCATTTCATACGTACTTTTGGCACACAAACAATTATTTTCAACGAAATCAACGCACAATACGTCAACGGCGTCCGTTTTACTACGAAGATATTACGCGACTGTCGTATTTGTTCGTTGCCAAGCGACAAGAGACGCGAGGAGTAGCGTCGGTTTGGTTGGATTATTCCACGTTGCAGGGGTAGCCGCCAGATTTGAATTTTCAACGATTGTTTTAACAAAAACACATCGCTCTTGCTCCATTAATCAAGCCGTGGCTAATTATTTTTACAAATGCGTTAAGGGCAGGAAACTTATTAATTATTGGAGTTCGGGGTACGCCCCGATTCATAATGCTCCGGCAAATTCGGTAGCTAAAAATCATTTGTGTGGTCTTTCACCGCGGCTTTTAAAGGGAAGTACGCCAAAGTCCATCCACCTTAAATGATTTCCTGTAGGATATTCCACTTTAGCGGGTTTGTCCAAAATATGGCACGAATCGTTTTTGCAAAACAAAACTACCTCATTTTAAAATAAGCGTATTTATCAAAGGAGATAAATGAATAATTTGAATTTGGTTACCATGCGATTGCGATTAGACGATCATCGTAATGTATTTTTAGGTTTCAATTTTGCACAAATTTTTCAAGTATGGATAGGTCATGGTGTAAATATAAAGGTGTGACGTTGCGCATGTCGGGCGGTAACAATATTATGCGATAATGTTGTACCGAGTAGAGAGCGACCTTGAACACATTTCGGACAAATTTATTTCCGCATAGATTATTATGTAGTCAAATCGCCTTCAAATATAAACTTCGCAACTAAATACTAAATACGGCCCTGCAATCGAATCATCTACTACCTACCAAAATTTGGAAACCTGGGACCCAGGAACCGCTCGCAACCGTATAGGTACAATTAGGCGCCCTTCTTTCATTATGATAGATGCGGCTTCGTTAACTTAGCACCATCTAGTGCCACTTTGACGTCTGGGGTATATGTAATATGTTCTCGGCAAACTGCGAGATCCGGCATTTTGCAAAATCCTTAGGCATTTTGCGAAATGACCAATGCAGCAGGTAAAGTGAGAAATGGAACTCGAGTTCGCACTTCTCCTACCTCTCTTTAGGGGGGTAGATATGTACGTGAGAACTAGCGCTTCAAATTTTAGAGCTAGCGCCACTCCCCAATAGTGTACAGTAGCGCAGTCGCTTAGTAAAAAGAAGCGAGGTATGATAATTCATTACCTACCCGGAAAAATGGTATTTACAAAATGCAAGTTAATCAAGTTTATCCCCTTCAAAGTACTCCCCCTGGCCTAGATGCTGTACGCTTCACCATACGATGTTTCCTTTGCTGAAAGAAGCTTATGTAAACTCTTGTGCAGAAACCGCTTTCAAGGCATCGGTCTAATTCTTCTGAATGTCCCCTAGATATTCTTCAGACTGCAATTCCATTAAATTGATCAGATTATTTATATTCATAAAACAAGGAATGGTAACTCACATTCTTTCTGCTATATTGGATTAAATTTGGATTACAAGAAACTCAAATAATTCAAAAACTGTATAATAATCTATTGAGAGCCGAGGCCAGGTCAGCTAGAAATTAGGGGAGGTTCGTTCAAAGATTTGTGAAAACATGAATAAATCAGTCAATTTGAAGTCGTTTTGATCTATTCTTAAATCAAATCGGATTTCTGTGTTTTCATTACGGTCAAGGCTATGAGTCACATACTGATCAAATTCCATATCATATTGTGTGTTCTTCGATTAGTACTGGCATTGATTGAAGTATAGTTTACCGATATTCCAATTCCAATACATTAGATGTGAATAATCATTGGAACAACCGCAACGCAAACCTTGACAATTTTCATACGGTCACCCTGTAGTACAAAATCGCATGATCTTCATTTCATCAATTAAACAAGTACTTTCAAAATGTTTACCGCAATTCTGTAACATTTTTAAGCGTTCCTATAAACGAAAAACGAAAGGATAAACTACGTAACTACCAACCAAGGCGCAAGTAGACATTTCGACTTTATCCTTTAACGGAAGATAAATAAATAAATGATGATATTTTTGCGGTTTTGCGCATAAATAACCTTTCTAAAAAAGGTATCAATGCCGTGCCTTCTTGGACGAACAGATAGCCTCCTGAATTTAAAAGAGATAATACGACCTTCAAAGTTAACAGTCCAAGTACAAGTAACGAATCTGTTTTTATGGAAGGGGTTAATAAATGAAGTAATTAAAGTAGAATATGAACGATAATAGTGCCTGGTTTTTGATAGGAAACGTTATTGTCATTGGTCATTTCCGCAAAATCGTAAAAGGGAAAAATTATGTTTTAGCATGATGACCTTAATAGTAATATCAGAATACTGATACTATAGCAATTATGAAAAAAAATGTGGCAATAGTGATATCTCTGATATAGATATAAGGCCAGAAGAAAATTAATGATGGTGTTTCTAACCGGCGATTTGTGTAAGTAGCATATCCGCAACAAGAGTTGCCTATACGAACGCGATCGTACTTATATATTCAATGATTTTATACATTGCTGTAGTTGATTTATTTAGATGAGCTGCGATGTTTGTTGAAAAGTATACAAATGACTTGATTTCGACACTGAAAACAGTTTTTCACTTTGGAAAATTTTATGATGAAAATTGAAACAATTGTTTCGTTTTTTTTAGTTACATACCCAACAAGTTAACTGCTTGTGCAATAAGAAAAATGCTTGAAAGTCCCAAGCACTAAATCATTACGATTATCGATCACTTTAATTGGAAATGAAATGACAAAGCACTATAGCTTTTGAAACGAGACTTTCGAGCACTTTGGAACTTGCCAGCACTAGTGTTAGGTTATTGTTGATTGTTGAACCTTCAACGGCTGTATTATGCAACGCTTCCCCAATTTGACAAAAGGCACAAGAAAGCGCACGTTCTTGCATCAGTTTACGTAGTACTTGCATTGCAGTAATACGGGGCGTTTTAGATTTTTTAAAATGCTTGACAGTCCTAAAAGTGCTTTCATGTCTTTTATCACGACTTTCAGATCCTGAATCCCCAAGGTGCTTGGAAGCTAAAAATGGTAGGGAATTAGCGACTATCATATATATATATATATATATATACACTAAAAAAACTTAGTTTACGCATTGCTTGCAAGTATCTAAAGTAAGTAATTGAAGCAGTTCTAACACTCCAACTATAACCGAAGTCGATACCCTAGTAGTAGTGGTGCAAAGGCCGGTAAAGGGTGGTCTGGAAACTATCAACGATTAACGGATTTCATTGGCGAGAATGAGGAGAAATAGAAAAACCACATACGATGCGTTTTGAATGTTGAAGAAGTTGACAGCAAATGTCCTCCGCCCTAAAAACTACGCTTTGCCCCTCTCACAGTGCATTTTCAAAGCTTTGTTTTTACGTGATGTAAGGAAGTACATTTCGTATGACCGATCGCACCCTCAAACTTCCATCCCCAATGGTTTCCGTTGGATTGGAAATCAATACCGATTCCACTTTCAAAGGACCGCTAAAAGTTAACTGATGAAGAGAAGAAGAGGCCAGCTACAGTCCAGAGTTAAAATACAATAGTTGGAGAAAGATGTATTAGAGAATTAAAAAGGAAAAAGAATGGATGATGCAGCAGCATTGGCTAAAACTCCCAAACATTTACAAACAAAGGTGAAATTTACACGCAATAAAGAGAGAGAATTAAGACAGCAAAACGAGGACATAGTAACCAAAAAATGATGGGGTATAGGGGAACACAGAAACTGTGTTGACGAAAAGCATTCGTTGGAGATTTACAAAAGCAGTAGAAGTGGAAATAAAGAAAAAGGAATCAGAGGAATTCTGTGAGGAGCAATAAAATTAAGATCTTGAATCAAAATAGAAGAGACTGAAGAAATAAAATGAGAGGAAACGGAACGCTGGTGAAATATAGAGAGAGTTAAAACAAAGCGAAGATCCCGAAAATCACGACTGGATATTACATAAGATGGGAAGTAAGCTAAAAGAGTGAAAAAACTATGGGAATGATTCTTTAAAAAATAACCGAGAAGCAAAAGATCAGGGGAAAAAGAATAGAAAAAGTTTTATGAAAAATTCCAACATCGCAAACGGGAACCAAGAGAAGATAGTAAAATAAAGAAATCATGGGATTAGGAGTAACGTGGTACTGCGACGAATTGGAGATTAAATTTCCGGGAAGGATTCGTTAGGAAACTAAGTTGAGCAGCAAAAATAAAGGAAGAGGAAGACGGTAGGTACTCTTGAATCTTAAGTCATCAGTAAAGTGTCCGGTCGTGTCTAAGGGCATTATCTAATGCCCAAGACATGAATTTGATGCATTTTTGTTGACCATATGTAGGTATTATGATCAAAACATGTCAATGTCAATAAATAAGCACAATTTCCTTAAGCGGCTCGGGTACCATTTTCTACCAAATTTAGAAGAATCATAGACAACCTGTGATAAATAACTACCGAAACATTTTTTTAGTAATTGGTCGGTATAAGTCGTTGATGTAATAGGTACCTACCCAGAATGCAGCACTGTCTGTATGACTGCCTGCATATGTATTCTCTTCCATTGATAGCATGCTGCTCTGTAAACATACTTAGTGATGATGTCATAATGCACCGATGACGTGCACGCAAACTAAGGGAAATCTTACTTTATATAGTTAATTTGATGAATTTTCCAATCTCACAAATCACCCAACCCATTTTATTAAATTAATATCAATTTTCTTAATTGAAATCCAGGTTGAACCATTTCTACTAGTGTAAAAATTTAAACGGACTGTACATTTTGTGATAACAAGATCTTGAAATGAACTTGAGGAGAACCTAAGATGATTGCGATGCGAAACTTGAGAACAACTTTTGAGGAAATTAAGAGGAGTTTGAGCAATATGAAGGGAGAACTTGCAAAGGAAAAGAATTGTGGAACATAAGACCAAGACCATCTCGAGATCTCAGCAAGGGAATATCGTAACACCTTCTTTAACGTGTGTTGTGTGTTGACACCAAATGACTCATCTACAAGATCTTTCCACCTCTTGAAAGTACTCCCCTCCGACACACCGTTTTGCAAATATTTGCAC